TAATGGCAATTGTAGTCCATCCCTTCCCTGACAGCATGGGTCTTAATGGAGAGAGGATGATAGCAGCTGTAGTCTAGCCAGAAGGGTTGAACGGGGGATTATGACCTTTGTAGTCCAACCCTTCCCTCTTGGAATGGGGTGTGATGGAGAAGATGATGGCAACTGTAGTCCAGCTATAAGGGGAGATGGCATTTCTAGCTAACCCTTCCCTGTCAGAATGGGGCTTAATGGAGAAGATGATGGCAACTGTAGTTCTGTCAGAAGAGTTTAACATGGGGGGTGATGGCAATTGTAGTCCAGCTATTCCCTGGCAGCATGGGTCGTAATGGAGAGAGGATGATAGCAGTTGTAGTCCAGCCCTTCCCTTCCATAATGGGGCTTATTGGAGTGGCAATTGTAGTCCATCCTCTCTCCAGTGCTGTCAGGGAAGGGGTGGACTACAAAGGCCATCATCCCCCATTCAACCCTTCTAGCTAGACTACAATTGCCATCATCCCCTCCATTCAAACCCTTTCTGTCAGGGAAGGGAATGATGGCAATTGTAGTCCATCCCTTAATCTTAATTAAGATTGTAGTCTTAATGGAGAGAGGATGATGGCAATTGTAGCCTAGCCAGGAGGGTTGAATGGGGGATGATGGCCTTTGTAGTTGAGCCCTCCCCTCCCGGAGGGGGCCCCTCCTTACTCGCATGCGGAGCTCGTAGCTGGTGTACCGGGCGCGGCCGACGCCCACGGTCTGCGGGTTGAAGATGTCGATCTCGAGGAAGTTGCTGGGCGGCCCGTAGGCGTCCGTCAGGTCCTGCGGCTTCGAGTTCAGGCGCCGCGTGTCCGCCACCGTCGCCTCCGACATGGCGCCGCCAGAAGGAAAGGAGGGAGGCAGGCAGGCAGGAAGGGACTAGGCCGCGCTCACAGCCGCCGGAGCCGCCGCCTCAGCGGAAACCGCCCTCCTGCCGCCACTGCCGCCACAGCAACCACCTTCTTCTCCTCCTCCTCCTCTTCGGCGCCGCAATACATGGCACCGCCCCGGAATCTGGGCGGAGAGCAACCGCGTCGTTTCCGCCCTGCATAATCCCACTCTGAATCCATGGTCCCGGGTAAGAGAGCGCTCCAACCCCGCAACGAGGATTAGCATACACTTTAGCATTGGCCGGGCAGKGGAGAAACATCAGTCACCCATGATCCGGGGCATCGGAAAGTCAGGACCCCGTAACTAGGTTTAGTATAATATATCGTATTGACTCTCCATGAAGAAACATTAATCATTCACGTTCTGGGGCATCGGAAAGTTAGAACCCCGTAACTAGGTTTAGTATAATATATCGTATTGACTCTCCATGAAGAAACATTAATCATTCACGTTCTGGGGCATCGGAAAGTCAGAACCCCGTAACTAGGTTTAATATACTATATCGTATTGACTCTCCATGAAGAAACATTAATCATTCAGCMTCTGGGGCATCGGAAAGTCAGAACCCCGTAACTAGGTTTAGTATAATATATCGTATTAACTCTCCATGAAGAAACATTAATCATTCATGTTCTGGGGCATCGAAAAGTCAGAACCCTGTAACTAGGATTAGTATAATATATCGTATTGACTCTCCATGAAAAGTCAGAACCCCGTAACTAGGTTTAGTATAATATATCGTATTGACTCTCCATGAAGAAACATTAATCATTCACGGTCTGGGGCATCGGAAACTCACAACCCCATACCTAGGATTAGTATAATATAACGTATTGACTCTCCATGAAGAAACATTAATCATTCATGTTCTGGGGCATCGGAAAGTCAGAACCCCGCAACTAGGATGAGTATAATATATCGTATTGACTCTCCATGAAGAAACATTAATCATTCACCTTCTGGGGCATCTGAAAGTCAGAACCCCGTAACTAGGTTTAGTATAATGTATCGTATTATCTCTCCATGAAGAAACATTAATCTTCGTGTTCAGGGGCCTCGGAAAAATGTGCCCTGCAAGGAGAATAAACATTAATTACTCATGATCCGGGGCACCAGAAAGTCAGAACCCCGCAAAAAGGATTAGCATAAAGTATGGCATTGACAGCCCGATTGAGAAACATTAATCATTCATGGTCCGGGACGTAGGACTCGATCCGCCCAGAAATCTGAATGGCATCATAATACACCGCCCTCTTCCTGCAGAAAGAACAGCTATCCATGCTCCCGGGCTGGCACTTAGACAGCGATAATGTATAATGGAGAACTATCCATGATGCTGTCAAAGTGTTGTTGCATGCCATATGCCAGCAAATATGGAAAACACAAGAATGGCCATCAGACTGGAAAAAATCAATTTATATCCCCATACCATAAAAGGGAAACGCTAAAGAATGCTTAAACTTTGGTACAGTGGCCCTTATTGACATGCCAGTAAGGTAATGCTGAAGATCCTGCAAGGAAGACTCCAGCAAGACATGGAGAGAGTGTTGCCAGGTCATAGAATCAAAGAATTGGAAGAGACCTCATGGGCCATCCAGTCCAACCCCATTCTGCCAAGAAGCAGGAAAACTGCATTCAAAGCACTCCTGACAGATGGCCATCCAGCTCCCGATGCCTCAAGAGTGCTTCGACCCTCCAAAATAGGTTCAGCACCTTGGAAAGCTCCCAAACCTTCAGAGTAAAAACCAGGAGCCTAATAAAAAGGGGAAAGGTATATACTATTTGTCCTCCTCTTCAATGCAGCTTTTTAAATTAAAAAAAAAAATCCGACTCCAAATGCAAATGTATGTAGATTTAATCTATTAACTGGATTAAATGGATGAGGAAGGAGTTAATCTATATAAATAAAAATGTAATGTTCGTTTGCGGGATTAACAGAACTCAAAAACCACTGGACGAATTGACACTAAATTTGGCCACAACACACCTAACAACCCAATGTATGTCCTTCACTAAAAAAAATTGATTTTGTCGTTTGGGAGTTGTAGTTGCTAGGATTTATAGTTCACCTACAATCAAAGAGCATTCTGAACCCCACCAACAATGGAATTGAACCAAACTTGGCACACAGGACTCCCATGACCAACAGAAAATACTGGAAGGGTTTGGTGGGCAGTGTCCTTTGGTTTTGGAGTTGTAGTTCACCTACATCCAAAGATGACTGTGGACTCAAACAATAATGGATCTGGACCAAACTTGGCATCAATACTCAATATGCCCAAATGTGAACACTGGTGGAGTTTGGAGGAAATAGAATCTTGACATTTGGGAGTTGTAGTTGCT